ACATATCCAGTGTGAGATCTAACAACATTGGCAGGGCCACTCCAATGTTGGCAGGGCCACACTAGTGCTATGAGAATCAGCAGTGCCTCATCCTGCCAGATCTTGAGAAGGACCTTGTGTATGAGGGGAAAGAGGGAGAACATGTACAGCATGTACAGCAGTGTGCTTGCACATAAGAGGCGAAAGGCATTTGCAACTGAGCCAAGGTTGTGGATCAGGCAGAAACAGAACCTCTGGCACTTTCTGTTGGTCTGTGTCCTGAACAGATCTATCTGGGAAGGGCACCACCTCTTGAAGATACTGCTGATTATGTCTGGGTGCAGAGACCATTCATGGCCATGAAAAGACTGCTAAGGCAATCAGCTACTTCGTTTTGTGAGCCCAGTGAGTAAACCACTTCTAACTGTATTGTGAGGGTGATGCAGAAATCCCAATTGGAGTAGTTTTAGGCAAATGCTCACTGTCATGATGGGGAAGTGATAGAGACCTTTGATGATGGCACTTAGGATCAGAAAACGAGAGTGGGCAGAGGTGCCCTGCTTTGGGTAGAGTCCAAGAGTGCCCCAATAAATTCTGTTCTCTGAGTGGGGATCACAATCCAATTTACTATGTTGAGGATGAGACCGAGTCTGAGAAACACTGCATGCACAATGTTTATGTATTCCTCCACCTGGGCTCAAGATCAGCTCTTGATGAGCCACTCATCTAAGTATGGGAAGACTTGCACCCATTGTCTGCAAAGAAAGTCTGCCTCGACCACCATGCTCTTGGTGCTGCTGATAGTCCAAATGAGGGGACCATGAACTGATAGTGCTGGTCGCTGACCACAAATCACAGAAACCATCTCTGGGAAGGGATTATGGAGACACGGAAGTATGTGTTTTTCAAGTCGAGGACAACATACTGGTCCCCTAGATCCAGAGAGGGAACTATAGAAGCCAGGGAGACCATATGGAACTTCAATTTCTCCATTAATCTGTTGTGATTTTGCAGGTCTAGAGTAGGCCTCAGCCACCCTTGGCCTTGGGGATTAGGAATAATGGGAGTACAACCCTCTAACCCTGAACTCCAGAAGAAACTCCTCTACTGCCATGAACAATAGGAGTGTAACCAGGCATGACTCACCACCATGGGTGCCTCCTGCTAGTCACTCAGGAATTAGCTCATTCAGCCCTGGAGTGCCCCCTTTAAGCTGGTGTCTCACCTATTTTTTCCCTCCACCTATGGGTACTGCCCTATCATAGTGCTCCAACTCTGGGGTCCTTCCCCTCTGGTAACTTCCAACTCATCATAGTGGGTTGGGTAAGAGGGCCTCCATGGGCTGGATCTGGCTCGCCAAGTGGGTTATCTGGCCTGTGGAGGTCCTGCCGCTCCCCTGTCCCCAGGTCAATCAGGGCCTAGAGACAGGGGAGCGTGCAGCGCTTAGAGTCAACAGCTGGCCCCTGGTGGTTGACTCTAAGCACCTCACGCTGGAGGGCAGGGAGCGAGAAACTTCATGCTTCCCCAGCCCCCAGGCGCACGCTCCTTGCAGGGCAGGAGGAGACTTTGCGCACTCCTCTTGTGCCCAAGCCCTGACTGGCCTGGGGGTGAGGAGAGTGCATAAAGTCTCCTCCCACCCTTCAATGAGCTCAGCACTTAGAGTCAACTACCAGCTGCTGTTCAGCTAGCAGGCGACTCAAAGCACGGCGCGCTCCCTTGCAGGGCAGGGCAGACTTCGTGTGCTCCCCCAACCCTCTGGTTCAGTTTGACCTGAGGGCAGGGGTGGGAGTGAACTCTTGTCCCAATGTCAGGGGTGCGGGTGCCTAAAGGGAATTGCTAGCTGTTCAGAACAGCTGTCTGTTCTCTCTGGGGGGAGGCAGGGGCAAAGACTTCACAGGGTCTGTGGGCAGGGAAGCATGGAAGTGTTCTGGTCCTGCCCCTTCCGGTGGCCTGGGGCCACTTCAAAATTTTCTCAAGTGGCTCCCCAGTAAAAAATGATTGCCAACCCCTGCCCTGTGCCCACCTTGCCTCAGTGACCCACTGCCAGTCTTCAGCTAGCCCCTTACCTCAGGGGCAAACTGCAGTCTGAAATGGCTACTCATCATTGGCAAGGGGGGGTGGACTTGCTGCCTTTGCTTACCTGGGCTGTTCCTGAATGAATTGGGGGTGAGGGGAAAGAGGAGGGAAGGGAGCTTCAACCCTCCCCGCTCTCTCTACAAGGCACATATGGGGTGGGAGGCTCAGGGCTCGGGCAAGACTCGGACAGTGAGAGTAGGTGTGGAATGTGCCCACAGCCAATCCCTTTTATCTACCTGGTGAGTCTGTCTCTTTTCTGTATGGTTTTATGAGAAGAAATCCCATCCCAGGCACATCCCATTATCCTGGCACAACCAAACCCTGACCTTGCTTTAAGTTATAATAAGAGGAAGCTGAGTACCGACTTTGGTGGTCCTAGCTCTTACAGTTTAGGAGGAGTTCTTGAATAAACAGACAGATGGACACACAGACAGACAGTCTCAAATATATAGTAGGTTTACAGACAGAGAAGGAAGATCATCGGGAAGCACTTCCAAATGCGAGAGAGAAAGCTACTCCAATGACTGTAACTGGTGGTAAGAAGGAACTGAAGAGGCAATGGGTCAGCAGGGACCTATAATACATGGCCATGAAGACTCCACTCCAGGAGGCTCCACAGCCAACGTGACTGCTAGGGAAAAGCCTTCCAAAGATTGTGCACGCAGTGCAGTGCACTTGGAATTGACATGAGTAAGTACTCAAAGAACATATACATCTATGTATCGAAGGCAGATTTATATCAGGCAGATTTATATCTGCTTAATCGCATGATGGCAAGGTTTTAACTCTGTCAGCATTGCATACCTTAGTCCATCTTTTTATAATATAGCCTTTGACAAAATACCAAGCAAAACAGAATCCTTTGTTCTGTTGTTTGCATATATAAGTCTCATGATGTCATTAGGCCCATTTAATGTGAGCTCATGTTTACCTGCATAAAACTCTCTATGTATTTCACAGACAAGGCATTACAAATACATGATATAACTGTAGCTAAACATACTGAAAATTAACTTCAATATACTGGCAGCTAGAAAGCCTGTGAATCACTATACAAGATATGTCTATTTCCACATATCTGTTCTACTGTGTGTGTTTGCTACAAGAATGTATAGAGTAAATGTCAAGAGTGCATTCTTTCTCCTGGCTATATGCTTAATCTACTCCAGCTGTCTGAGTAAGCAGAATTTGATGGTCTTAGATAAAGAGAGCTTTGTGTAAACATTAACTCTAAGAAGAGACGATGAGATGCCGGAAGCTCCAATATAATGGCTTCATTTCACTCCCATGCCTCATCCCTTCCTTCATTTTCATTCTTGCAACTCACTGAATAAAGAAAAATCAAAACGCAGCAAGTTCCCATTTCCTGATGACACAGATATTGATGGTCCAGAAAGAAATTGTCTGGAGATGTGAGAAAAAAATAAACATGGAAGTTCATGGGGCACAAAGGAGTCAACACAATTTCTGATGTGAGCATAAGGTATTAGGTCACTATTTTAAAAATAGGTGTCTAAAGTTAGACTCCCAAGTATTTTGGCACTTAAGAAAGAGTCTTGATTTTCAAAATTGCTGAGCACGCAGCAGCTCATTTTAGATGCCTAATTATGAATTTAGGAGACTAACTGTAGGCATCAATTTTTTAACAATCCTGGCTTTCATATCTAATAGGGATGTTAAATTTAGATTAATTGGCTAATTGATTTGATTAAATGATAAGGGCGCCTCCGCCTTTGAAGTGCAGCAACAGTTTCAGGGCTGTTGCTATACTTCAAAGGCAAAAGTGCTGCGGGGACCATGGGGTCAGCGGGGGCCTCAAGCAGTCCCCCACTGGCCCCATGCTCCCTGTGGCATTTCAAAGTGGTAGTGCTGCATGGAGCCTGGGATCAGCAGAGGAGTTTCAAAGAGCCTGCAGAGCCATGGAGCCTAGGCTGCACTCGACGTTTCAAAGCGGCAGATCCCAGCCTCCACATGATGCTGCTGCATTGAAACACTGTGGGCTGCACGTGGCGTTTCAACGTGGCAGTGCTGTGTGGAGTCCAGGGTCTAGCCCCAGGTTCCATCTAGCATTGTTGCTTTGAAGCATCCCTCATCTTCCCCCCCACTTGCTGCCTCTCTCTGATAGAGGCAGCCAGGGGGGGGGAGGATCCGATAAGCATTTGTTTATTGGATAGTCGACTAGTCTTTCACATCCCTAATGCCTAAGCATTAATATTGCTTGGCAAACCCACACCTTCACATACTGCGATGAGCACATCAGACATGCCTTCATTAACCACCCTCAATTTGATATTCCAAGTTTTCCAAAGATATTCTTTTGAATTTCTGAATTATGTGCATATAGTGCTTAGCACAATGAGGCTCCAGTTTTGTGTGGTGGCTCTAGGTTCTGTAATAATAAAAACACAGTATGTATAGTATTAGAATATGTAGCTACAGAGAAATGAGTATACAAATACTGTACATATTCATGGGGTAAAATGCTGGTTCCTAAGAATAAATTTGTTCTGTAATTTACAATGTAAATATGCTATCAGCTACAAAATATTTAAGATTCATGGGATTAGATTAGATTATTAAAAAGGTGGTTAAAATACTTTACTAAGTAAAAGTGACTTTTCACAGTGTTCTATCCTAGAGAATTAAAGTTTAGATAATATACAGGTGAACAGAATGGCTCTTATCGAGTAATTATATTATCCAAGGCCAAGTGAATGCAATAGGCCCTCAGTTGCAACAAATACTGTAAAACAAGTACAATACCTAATAAAGGTTAAATTGCTATTGTTTTAAAAGGTAACGGTCTCGCAGTCGGCTGCAAAATAAGCCTCTTCTAGCTGCATTCACCTCTCATAGATTCACTTCACAGCATGTCTGTCACATTAGCAAGACCTGTATAAGCACTTCAGAAGTTCTACTAGTGATGGACCCGGAGAGGGGCTCACCTGTTCCTGGGTCATCTTCTGCAGCTCTTTCTCCCAAGCTGCCTGGTCATCATCCATGTGGTAGGAAGCAGGTGGGGTAAGTCCACGCAAAATCAGGGGGTCACGGTCATGGCAGAGGGCTGTCAGGTGTCCAATGTACAACTTCAATTTGCTGCGATTCTGGTCAAGTTCTAAAAGGGGCTGAATTATCTGAGATAAGAAAACAGGAACAGTCAGGGTTGGCCTGAGATCCAAGCACCTGAGAAGTCAAAGACCAATCCATAAGTTATGAATCTCAACAACCAATAATATGTAAAAGCTCAAAGAACACTGAACAAAGTCCCCAAACCCTTCTGTCCTATAAACTCTATTACACTACACTAAAGTAGGATGAAATGGAGCACTGGGAGGGCATAGTCCTGCTGGCTGTCTTGTTAGTATGAAAAGTAGAGACAATGAGAACTGAAACAGTATTAATTATATAGTTTTAGTGTGTGTGTTGTACATACTCCCTACTTTAATTTTTTAAAGTTAATTTTCTTTTGGGGTAAAAGGTGCCAGATTGATAGACCTGGAGAATGAAGTCCTGTATTAGTCACAGAACAGATTGTCTGTCCACAACAAAGGAAACATCAGTACAAATTCTCCTCCCATGTGTGTAAAGCAACATGTACCATCCTATTCTGAAGGGATCTCGTCTAATGATGCCAATTAGCATGAACTGAAAAGTGAAGTTTCTGAAATACAGACACGTCTACATTAGAAACTTTATGCACACACTGTGTCAAGTACATAGCCCACCAAACAGTCTTGAGATGGTGATGACATTCAGTCATTACAGGAGCAAACCTTAATGTGATGATCTAAAAATGCAGTGCTCTAACAAGTAGTTTTATTTTAGTTAATATAAATCTAATCTATGTCTTTGGAATCATCCAGTCACTTCTCTGAAGTCACTGTTTACCAAAAAGTAGAGAATGAAGAGAGAAGTGAAGATGAATAAATGCACAACCGTTCACTGTGTTTAAACTAGAATACTAGTTTGAACTGTTCTAGGTATTTACAAAGGTATGTTTAAAATTTAAACATGCAGAATTCTAGCTTTGTGGAATGTGGCCAATCAAAAATTAAGGAAGCAGAAGGGCCAGGCTGTGCACCTCCTCTCAAAGAAATGAGGTGCTGAAGCTGTATCTGCTGACATGCACCAGCTGTGAGAGTTGCAAAGCCTCGCCAGAATGCTGGCAACTGTCAAATGTTCCCATTTAGACAAGGCAGGGGCTGCACCTGTTGCCTGTCAGCAGGATCAGGGTGTCTTTTCAATGGGACACCTCTGACCCTGCTAATGAATGAGAAGCGTGATAATCTTTGAGTCAACAGAAACAGGGTGCTGGTATTATTTTCAACAAAGACAGAATCCTACCCCTCTAACCAGGCTGTTCTGACTCACTTCTTTTGTTGCCAACACTGAATGGATTAAGTTCTGTGGAGTGAGAGGAGCTGAGAGCAACAGCTAAGTAGTTAATGAGTGTAAAAAATCCTTTTTCTTATGAGGACACAGAAGCACCCAGGAACCTAGAGCAGAATGTTAGGGTCAGCAGCATTTTAACACTTCATAGGAAATAATTTGGGAGAAACCCTAGATGACAAGCAGAGAAATAGAAAGATAGGCGAGAGGGAGGCTGGACAAGAAGGCTAGATACTAGGAAATCTTTTGAGGATGATATGACAAGCCAGAAGCCAGGAAAGCTAAAATGATGAACATTTATCTCATGTTCATGCTTTTGCATCTTGCGCACAGAGGATACAACATTAAGCAAACTATAAAATGGGGAACATAAGGTTCTATGGGAACCCCCTATCTGCCAATCTGGGGTAACATTTATTATAAGTGTATATATGTGTACATAATTTATAGTTGTGGTATTGCAACACTGCAAGTTACAACAGGATTGGACTAAACCACCCTTGTACAGAGCAGTGGGAAGATATAATTCAGTAGCAACATAATTCTTCAGGTTTTTCTTCCTTGTCCAAATACAACTGAATTTCAGTCAATTGCACATCTATTAGATTTGGCTATTTAGTGAACACCTGACATAGCAGTATTTCATCCCCCCAATTTCTTCTAATTTAGATCTTCCCTACTATTTCCTACTAAAAGCCCTCGTCTGAAATTAATTGCCTTTCCTAATATGGCTGACTTGAGGCATCTGATTCTCTTGATGTCGTCCATTATCTTTGTTGCTCTTCTCTTCATCTACAGGTCAAGGTACAATGGAGACATCATTTCCTACAAAATAATTACTTATAGAAATATTGACATGAACAAGCTAATGTCTAATGACTGGGTGTTTAATAAACTTCCTAACCACCTTGTGTTCTCTTTCAGATAACAGATTCTATTAGTCATGCATGGGATGTGTGGTTTTCAAGTTGACAAGTCAGTGTTGTAGATCTATCTATCTAACTATTACTATTTAGTAGACCCCTGGGTGATAAGGAAGTAGCAGGATTATCCCACTGATTATTAAAATGGATTTTAGTACAGAAACAGAACTTGATTTCTCAGGGAGAAGATTCTTTGAAAAGCAGAGTACATTCTGACTGTTCACTCATCTGCTTACTTTGGGAAGAGGTGTCCCACCTTTGTGGAGATTAGCCATATGAGGCGTGTGAAAGTTCTTAACTAACAGAGCTCCCGGAGTTGTTCACAGAGCAATCATTTCTCCCCATTGAGCTCATTAAATCCTGCCAGTCAAGTAAGAAATGCCTTTATCTCTGCGTTCCTCCCATATCTAATTTGAGCCAGACACTTTAGCAAAAGGGACTGTACTTCCCACACAGCAGAGCTGCCACTATCTTATCTCAAGAGGGTGCAAGAGCACTTGCTAAGTGGAAAGGCAGAGCAACACTGGATTCACAAATCAGGTCACATTTCTGCATTCAGCCATAGAGCTTTCTAGGGAAACACTAGATGACCGGTCTTCCCTAAAGGCATGGAAATATTGTCCAAAACAGCCAGTCTTCAATAAGTATAGTATACTTCAAACATTGTCATCAGACCACAGAGTAGAATCTGTTTAACAATTCTTTTACACACAGTCACACAATTTATCCTCAAGATCAAAATACTGTTCTTGCATAGTTAAGGTTGAAAATCTATTCTGCTTACCGCAAAAACGTATTACAATGTAAGTGAAGACATTAAATGCCTGAAAAATCTGAAGTAAGAGCAAACTATCTTCAAGTTATCAGCTGATAAAGAAATGTAGGCATGTCTTTCAAAACAAACTCAAGAACAATTTGTCCAGGTTTCTTGAAATTTTCCAGAAAGCTTTAATTTCAGACAGATTAATCATGACAAATTTAACTATAAAAAACCTAACTATAGTTTTGCAAAAAATATAAAGAATTTAAAATAAGGCTAAGAATGAAACAGCTGCTGCTACCTTTACTGTGGAGTTGCTGTAGCTATGTCATGGTTAACTTTTATGATAGTTGCAGTATTTAATTTAGTAAAAATTTGTCTTAGATGTGATAGTCACAAAACACAGATGAGACATATTTGCACTTAACGTGGTTGGACAGACCAATCCAAATGTCTGCTTATTTCTTTTACTGAAACCAATACACCTTAAATATGGAGACGGTAGTTTCCAAATGTTTTTCTGAGAGACATCAAACATAAATATGCAAAAATATATAGAATGATATGTGAAAGGCCCAACTGTGACAATAACTGTCCAGAAATGGGTACAGAATAAGAAATACTTTACGGTAGGTGTAACTGCATTCATACTTGTCAGAGCCTGACATGCTGATCAGATGCTGTAATGTTTTTTTTTCTGTAATTGTGAATGCATGACTATATGTGTGTATGGAAGGAGGAAAGAGAAAAAAATAGTGGATCACATCAGCTATGGAAAGTCAGCACACTCTGCTATATTCATGCTTGGTACTAGTAAGACTAATGCGGAAAACCGTTCAGCAGCATGGCAGTCCTATCAAGTGTGCAAACTGTGGATAGCATTGTAACACCCATGGAGGAACAAAGTAGGTCATAAGCTTTCAGTTTCACCATCAAGTAATTCACTGAACTGATAGTATAGTGGGATAGAGGAGGGTCTGCAGATTCTTTTCTATCTATCTCAAAGTGCCAACAAGATAGAAACAATGAAACAAAGGAAAGGCAGTGTAATTGGGAGATATTCTGGAGGTCAAAATAAAAGTAAACATGATGGAACACTGCTGCATAGCAAATTTTCTCCGGAAACCTAGCATTGAACACTAGCAGACAGTGATGAGGCCATGAATGTCTATCTGAGGCATCTGACTGCTTGTCAAAGAGCACTTAAGAAGAAAAAGGTCTAAAAAAGTGCACGTGGAAGGTAGGGATGGGTGGAGAGTTTGGCTAGTGGTTGCAATCCCAGCAAAAACAAATGTATCTGTGATTTGATATATTATCAAAGAGGAGAAATCTTGGCTATTTGTTGAAATACAAACCAAAAGGTTTTTCTTTCTTCTGTTGAAAGAGCTGAGAAAAAGCAAGAAAACAAAATGATATTGTCTGGAAATATTTCCACAAGGACCTGAGATGCTGTTTCTTGTTTATGGGATTCTGGGTTGTTCAGCAATGACTGCAAGGGTTCAAATTCAGCCATGGTGTCACCACTACGTTCAGAAGGAGTGATACGAGGCATGAATTTAACTCTGGAAATGCAAAGCTTTTCCCTAATCATCGCAATTTATCACTCATGTCTTCCCTTCATTATTTTAAATAGAAACAGAAGAAAGTTCTCAAACACACTGCCTGACCTAAGTTCAGCTGCTGCTGTTGCACTGAGACACTTGGTTTCTTCAGAGAGACTGCATTACTGAAGCACAGGGGCAGGTTCACTTTCCTGAGGTTTTTTCTTACAAGAAACATGGGTTAAAATCTACTTTCCGTCACACTCCTCGCAAAAACAAACCAAAACAAAGGAACAAGAAACCATTTGAGAAGTTGGAAGGGATATTGGCTGCTTTGGCAGAGCTGCTTCTCAGTATCATTTCTGCCAGAGCCAATCAGGAAATCATATTTTTAAAACATTCTTTCTGAAATTTTTATACACCATGAACAAATCCCACAGATTAACATTTTCCAGAGCTCACTCCCTTCATCTTGGGAAAAATCCAAACTCTGGGGGGAAAAAACAGGGAAAACACAAAAG